CCGAACCAGTATTTACCCAAGTCTCCTAAATCTAAATTTATCCAATATGTCCATTCATCCACTTGTAAACCTCTTATGTCACCCCTAACTCTTCGCCTTCCCAGTGAATGCAATTTAAGCTTTGTTCATGTCCCTTCATATGACAGGTTTCTAATTTGGGGAATTGACTTTTGTCATCCTACGCTGGACACGTTTAAGGGAATTTATATCCATTCTATAGTACGGCGACCAAACCTGAACTGCATAATCAAAATGGGGCCTAACAGAGCAAGATATAGCTGAAGAACCACACCAGGTGTCTTGTTACTAACGCTTCCATTAATAAATCCCAGTGTCCTATTTGCCTTATTACGAACATTCATGCATTGAAATTTTGTTTTAAATTCTTACTAGTCATAACTCCCAGATCCCTTATGCAATCCGACATCGCAATCTCAACACCATCTAACTCTTATCATCATTACCTAGCCTCAAAACTTAACGTTTATCAGCATTAAACTGCATCTGCCAATCTTTTGAGCATCTCAAATCCCTATTTAGATCGACTTGAAGTGACAGTGAGCCTTCTGTGTCTATTTCCCTCCCGATTTTTGTATCAGCAAATTTTCAAATGTTGCTAATCAAACCTGAATCTAAATCATTTATATCTATAATAAACAATAGAGGTCCCAGGACAGAGCTTTGAGATACTTCACTTACAGCATTTTCCCACTCTGACTAAACCCCATTTACACAAACTCTGTTTCCTTTGGTATAGCCGTGCCCTAATCCAACTTGATATAGCACCCCCAATACCACGAGCCTCTATCTTCTTAATCAGTCTTTCATGTGGCACTGTATCAAAAGCTTTGCTAAAGTCAAGGTACACAACATCACAATCCTTACCACTATCAACTGCCTCAACTATGCTGGAATAAAATGATAGCAAATTTGTTAAACATAAACGGCCATTTGTAAAACCATGTTGTGAATCATTTATTAATTTATGTTTTTCAAGATGAAGACGAATTGTATTTGCAATTATCGATTCAAGTTTCTTTCCCACAATAGGCGTTAGGCTAATTGACCGATAGTGTGACGCAAGTGATCTCCTTTCTTAAGCATTTGTACCACATTAGCTACCTTCCATGACTCTTACTGATTTATTAAATATGTTAGACAATGGCTCGCAAAGCTCCTCTTTGCATTCTTTAAGCACCCTGATTTTGATTGTTGCCGCCGGAGGTGGCTAGTTTATTGTGCACCCCATACCCATCCTGTGAGCGGTAGCGCAAAAAGCATTACAGAGGGCACAAAAGGTCTTTATCAGACCTCATCTTAGATTATTACAAACAATTTCATCTATCCTTCACACCTTATAGTTACAAAGGGCTATTTCAAGAGCTATATATTTACAGTAAGTCATACATTAATGGTAGGTTTTATCGCTAATACATAATAGTTTGACCAATGGAGATAGTCATAGGGTGGCTTCTGTTTATTATTAGTCTTCACAATACTTTACTTGTTTCTTCATTCCATATGTCGTTTATCTACTGGAGGTGAAATATGGATACAGTGCATGGATTTCAGGTAGTTTATCCATTGTAATAAGATAGGTTGCCATATCATACAGAATGAGCTTAGATTTATCTCTAAATGACTCAATTTTACTTCAATCCAAGATATAGTGTTCGAGTGTGTCCCTGTCTTTGTCCACACACTTTACACTTTACTTCATCTAGATCCCTATACAAGCCGAACTGCCAGAGATACATGTAGCCAAGTTATACGAGCTGTGACAACATCTGTTAGTCTACTGACTTTGTTACTTGCCCCATACACATGTTTTACTTCACACATTTCATTGTGATGAACAATGGACCCGCTAGTTCCAGTTTGCACTGTTCTACTTTCTTCAAATCCTTCCAAAGAGTTCTCGTTTAAAGACATTTTTAAAGGACCTATTTGATAACTCAAGATTCCGTTCAATACTGTCTTTATTTACTGCAGCCTTAGCAAGGGCGTCAACTTTGTCATGTTCCTGCATGCCAATGTGAGAAGGAATCCACAACATTTTTATATTTACCCTCTTGCTAAGTATTCTTATATATCTACGTCTAGCTTCCAAGACAAGCACGTTATTACTTGATTGCAAACTGTTTATTGCTCGTAGTGAGGAAAGGAGTCGGAAATAATTAAGCTGTCTACTTCAGTGTTGCCAATAATTTCGAGTGCTACCAGTATTGCTACCAACTCGGCTTGCATTGTGGATGCCCAGTTACTAATTCGAATATTCCTTTGAATTGTGCTGCCATCGGGCTGATGAGCAATAACAGCACTTCCTGCCCTCCCTGTAGCTGTATTGAGTGATCCGTCAGTGTATATGGTCTGTGCTATGTTGTTTTCAGCTTGTATATTGTGAATGTGTTCTATGGTGCTTAATTTAGCAGCAAACTGAGCATGAGGGTTGTTTGTGATTAGTTTCTTGGTGGGGTATGCAGGGGTCAGGATGTCAAAAGGTAGGTCTCTTGCCTTGGTTACCCTTTGCATTTCATCAACTTTGCTACTCTCAAGCAAAACGCAATTTCTTTCATCCTAAACCTGCTTCCAACACTAGTAGCACTGTACTATGCCTTCCCTTCATATCTGAACTCAAAACTTTTACCAGTACCTTTCGTCCTCTTGACATAAAGCTCGCCTTTCGGCAAACTAACACACTTCGTAGCAATCTAGTTCACACTGCTCCTCCTGCTTCTAATGCTGCTGGTGTCTACTCTATTTCGTGTTCGTCTTGTCCTCTCCAATACTTTGGCGAAAATGGCTGTACCCTGAATGACAGACTTAAAGAACACAAGAGAAGTGTTAAGTCTGCAGACACTAACAATCCTCTCTTCAGTCATGTCAGGGATTCCAATCATTCAATTGACTGGTCTTCCTCCAAAATAATCTTTCCTGCCTCTACTCTACACAGACGCCGTCTTGTCGAATCGGCTCTAATACACAATATACCCAACATGAACTTGAGTCCTGGCTTTGTTGCTGTGGACTCTTCCCTTTCACAGTATATACTTAAATGCTCTAATCTTTCTAACAAACGTGACCTAACATAAGCTTACCTTTAATTTTATATTTCTTTCTCTCTTCTCTCTTTTCTGATCATTGTTTTCTTTACGTTCCCTTACTATCCTCTTCTTATTCCTATTACTATCTCCTCACTCGTTGGTTATAATAGGAGCTGCCTCGTATGGGCCAATAGGCCCTCTGCAGTTCTTATTCCTACTACTATCTCCTCTACTACACTTTTCTCCTCACTTTTCTCTAGCCTATTTATTGCCTGCATTTACTTCATCACAATCGACTTGAGAATGGTCCAGGACGGACCGAAACGTCGTCGTCCCTTCACCTTCTAGTGTGTGGTCTGGTCATCATGTCAAAAGGTACTATCTGCCAGGGTGGAAGGAAGTGCTGTACTCTTTCATCTGTATATACATCGTGCAGTCCCATCATTTTAATATGAGTGGCTGTTCTTTGAATCCATTTAGACTCGCTGGTTCCATTTCGTATGTGTTCTAACAGTTCAACTGACACAATGTTGTTTTTGTTATCACGCAGAAGCTTTAGTCCCATCATAAGATTAATTTCAAATATTCTCTCTCTAATGCTAAGTATATTTAATTCTTTCCACATGTTGAGAACTTTGGTAGTTATAGAACAGCCAAGTATAATTCTGAGTGCTTCATTTTGCATTTTTTTCCAGTCTATCAATACTTTTCCCATTTTGCAGGACCAAAGCTGGTGCATGATAGTCTATCAGAGACATTATATATGCTAAATACTGACAAACACTTCATCCTGAGGATTTGTTTGGTCTGTGTTAAACTATTTGTTTAATTACATCCTCCCTGGTAACTGCTAAACTAGTCAACCTGTCCTCGTCCCCACCCACACAGACTTGTTCGGCTCAAGGCATATTGTTAAGTTCCTCTTCAGTAAATGCAGAGATAAAATATGTATTAAAAATACTGCTCATCTGTTCGTCATTATCCGTTATCTGATCTGTCTCAGTTTTTAATGGACCTATCCTTTCCCTAATCTTTGTTTGCTATAACTGAAAAACCCCTTTAGGATTTGTCTTTGCTTGCCCTGCTATGCGAACTTCATAGTTCCTTTTGCCCACCTTATCTCTCTTTTTTTTTAACATTTCTAACCAGTTGTACGAATTCCTGTTCTAAACTGACTTCCCCATTCTTAGTCCTTTTGTACCGCGCTCTTTCTACCTATAAGGTTCTTCAGATCCTTTGTTATCCTTTTCGGGTCATTAGTATTCGATCTATTCAGTTTGTATGGTATACTACGTTCCTGTGAAAGATAGTGAAGATGAAGTTCTTATAGAGTTAAGGCAGTTGCCACTTGAAAGACTGATTAAAAAGATAAAAGGCCCATGGTATTGGAGTTGCTATATTAAAAATTGGGGTGCTATAGAAAAGCGAAGAATTAGGGGTGGCATGATAGAGGTGTACAAGTGGATGAACGGGCGTAACAAAGGGAATATTAATATGATATTAAAAGTATCAACACAAGACAACACGAAACAATGGGTATATATATTGGATAAGTTTACATTTAAGAAAGACCTGGGTAAATACCTTTTCGGTAACAGGGTTGTTGATTTGTAGAAACAATTATTGCTTAACGTGTTGGAGGTGGGGTGTAAGATTTTCGTCCTCGAAGATTTCCATGTCACCTCTCTCGCCTCTCACCTCTCTCTCTCTACAGACTACATATAGACTTCGTATCCTTCTCTCATCACAATCGACTTGAGAACGGTACAGGACAGACCTTTGTCGCTCCTTCATTGCTTAATGTGAGTAGTTCTTAAGCAAACCATTGCTTAATGGTTTGGTCAACTCGGGTCCATCTTGACTAATATTTGTCATCTAGGATATTAATATCAGGTTAACGGGACTAGTCAGTGGCTTACAAGAAGTTTACGGGTCAGAAGCTTATTAAGAATCAAGATGAAACTTCTCGGTTCAGGGACGTATGGGACGGTGTCCCTCATGGACTGGGACGGCCAGCCAGCAGCGCTGAAAGTAGCAAAATCTTCAGAGTTTTCAGAGGTGTTTGAAAGCGAAGGTAACGTTCTCTCGTTACTGAATGGTGCAGGAGGCGCCCCTTTGTTGTTGCACAGGTCAGTGAATCCACCATCACTTGTGACCACCTATAAAGGCAACCAGACCCTACTTGATGTCTTGGGAAATCCACAGTATGACCTACTTGACGTAGGACTTCAGGTTGGTATAAAGCTAAATGAGATCCATGCAGCCGGCTTAGTACACAATGATATAAAGTGTGATAACATCATGATCCAAGGTCCGCCTCACAAACCAAACATTAGCATAATAGATTATGGCTTGGCCTCCAGAAACAGAGTCAAAATTTTCCTTGAAGAGGACTCGAGTATTGATACAACATATGCCCCCGAGGTACTTCAGAAGAAGGCAAGCACTTTTGCCTCAGACGTATACTCTTATGGAAAATTAATGTTAGAGATACAGAAGCAGTTGCCCGAACAACACCCGTCCCTCGATAAGTTGCTTCAGAAGGCAACAAACAAGACCCCAAGGAGGCGCCCAACCCTTCCTATTTTTCTACGACGCTTACGGGAAGTTATCAGCGAAATTTCCACGAGTGTGAAAAATTCGTGTAAAAAGCAGGACACCAGAGCAGCCTCGGAGAGTATAGAGGAGCAGCACCGCATGGAACTGCGACATCGCCAGACAAAAAGGGATCGGAGTCCAACTCCCAACATTTCTACAGAGTACAGAAGAAAACTTCGCCAACGCCCTAAAAAGCGTCAACAAACCCCCGAACCTTTAGAAGCTAATAACCGCCATCTTGGCAGAAACAAAAGACGAAAAATTGCCTTGTGACTCAAAACCTGAACCAGCATTGTCAGTCACGAGATAAGAGGAAGCGGCGCACTTTTTAAATAATATATTCTTGGAATTTATTGCATTTTTTAATAAAGTATATCATTTTTTTATCTTTTTTTTATTATAGCACAACCTTTAATAATGCGTGTGTGTGTGTTAGGGATGTGAGGATGGGTGTAATATATGTGTAATAGGTAATACATAATAAGAACATAAGAATAAAGATAACTGCAGACGGCCTATTGGCCCATACGAGGCAGTTCCTATTTATAACTACTCATATACATGTCCAAAAAAAAAAAAAAAAGACTGGAAAAAATGCAAAATGAAGCACTCAGAATTATACTTGGCTGTTCTATAACTACCAAAGTTCTCAACATGTGGAAAGAATTAAATATACTTAGCATTAGAGAGAGAATATTTGAAATTAATCTTATGGGACTAAAGCTTCTGCGTGATAACAAAAACAACATTGTGTCAGTTGAACTGTTAGAACACATACGAAATGGAACCAGCGAGTCTAAATGGATTCAAAGAACTGCCACTCATATTAAAATGATGGGACTGCACGATGTATATACAGATGAAAGAGTACAGCACTTCCTTCCACCCTGGCAGATAGTACCTTTTGACATCCTGACCCCTGCATACCCCACCAAGAAACTAATCACAAACAACCCTCATGCTCAGCTTGCTGCTAAATTAAGCACCATAGAAAAATAGCTTGTATAAAAATATACAAGCTGCAAACAACATGGCACAGACCATATACACTGACGGATCACTCAATACAGCTGCAGGAAGTGCTGTTATTGCTCATCAGCCCGATGAGCAATACAATGGCAGCACAATTCAAAGGAATATCCGAATTAGTAACTGGGCATCCACAACGCAAGCCGAGTTGGTAGCACTCGAAATTATTGACAACACTGAACATAAGAACAAAGGCAACTGCAGAAGGCCTATTGGCCCATACGAGGCAGCTCCGATTTATAACCACCCAATCCCACTCATAAACATGTCCAACCCATGCTTGAAACAACCTCCACAATGTTACGCGGCAATTGGTTCCACAAATCAACAACCCTGTTACTGAACCAGTATTTCCCCACTTATCCAATTTATACCCATTGTTTCGTGTTCTGTCTTGTGTTGATACTTTTAATACCCTATTAATAGGAATTCGTACAACTGGTTAGAAATGTTAAAAAAGAGATAAGGAAAGCAAAAAGAAACTATGAAGTTCGCATAGCAGGGCAAGCAAAGACAAATCCTAAAGGGTTTTTTCAGTTATATCGTACTAAGACTAGGGAAAAGATAGGTCCATTAAAAACTGAGACAGGTCAAATAACAGATAGTGATGAAGAGATGAGTAGTATTTTTAATAAATATTTTGTATCTGTATTTACTAAAGAGGAACTTAACAATATGCCTTCAGCCGAACAAGTCTATGTGGGTGGGGACGAGGACAGGTTGACGAGTTTAGCAGTTACCAGGGGAGGATGTTCTTAAACAAATAGTAAAACTCAAACCAAACAAATCCCCAGGGCCGGATGAAGTGTTTGCTAGGGTGCTTAAAGAATGCAAAGAGGAGCTTTGTGACCCACTGTCAACCATATTTAATAAATCAATAGAGTCAGGCAGAGTGCCAGAGTTTTGGAAAGTTGCTAATGTGATACCAGTTTTTAAGAAAGGAGATAGATCACTTGCGTCTAACTATCGACCAATTAGCCTAACGTCTATTGTGGGAAAGTTACTCGAATCTATAATAGCAAATAAAATTCGTCTTCATCTTGAAAAACATAAATTAATAATTGAGTCGCAACATGGTTTTATAAATGGCCGTTCATGTTTAACAAATTTGTTATCTTTTTATTCTAGCATTGTTGAGGCAGTTGATAGTGGTAAGGATTGCGATGTTGTATACCTTGACTTTAGCAAAGCTTTTGATACAGTGCCACATGAAAGACTGATTAAAAAAATAGAGTCTCATGGTATTGGGGGTGCTATATTAAGCTGGATTAGGGCATGGCTATACCAAAGGAAACAGAGAGTTAGTATAAATGGAATCAAGTCAGAGTGGGAAAATGTTGTAAGTGGAGTGCCTCAAGGCTCTGTCCTGGGACCTCTGTTGTTTATAATATATATAAATGATTTAGATTCAGGTTTGAGTAGCAACATTTGCAAATTTGCCGATGATACGAAAAATCGGTAGGGAAATTAATTCGGAGGAGGACTCACTATCACTTCAAGTTGATCTAGATAGGGTTTTGAAATGGTCAAAGGATTGGCAGATGCAGTTTTAATGCTGATAAATGTAAAGTTCTGAGGTTAGGTAATGATGATAGAGTTACAAGATACGAGCTAGATGGTGTTGTGATTGCGAAGTCGGATTGCGAAAGGGATCTGGGAGTTATGATTAGTAAGAATTTAAAACAAAAGGATCAATGCATAAATGTTCGTAATAAGGCAAATCGGACACTTGGATTTATTAATCGCAGCGTTAGTAACAAGACACCTGGTGTGGTTCTCAAGCTATATCTTGCTCTAGTTAGGCCCCATTTAGATTATGCAGTTTAGTTTTGGTCGCCATATTATAGAATGGATATAAATTCACTTGAACGTGTCCAGCGTAGGATGACTAAGTTAATTCCCCAAATTAGAAATCTTTCATATGAGAAAGATTAACAAAGCTTAAGTTGCATTCACTGGAAAGGCGAAGAGTTAGGGGTGACATGATAGAGGTTTACAAGTGGATGAATGGACATAACCGGGGGGATATTAATAGGGTATTAAAAGTATCAACACAGGACAGAACACGAAACAATGGATATAAATTGGATAAGTTTAGATTTAGGAAAGACTTGGGTAAATACTGGTTCAGTAACAGGGTTGTTGATTTGTGGAACCAATTGCCGCGTAACATTGTGGAGGTGGGGTCCCTCGATTGTTTCAAGCACGGGTTGGACAAGTATATGAGTGGGATTGGGTGGTTATAGAATAGGAGCTGCCTCGTATGGGCCAATAGGCCTTCTGCAGTTACCTTTGTTCTTATGTTCTTATGTTAAGAACATAAGAACATAAGAACATCTTATGTTCTTATGTTCTTAAATTGGATAAGTTTAGATTTAGGAAAGACTTGGGTAAATACTGGTTCAGTAACAGGGTTGTTGATTTGTGGAACCAATTGCCGCGTAACATTGTGGAGGTGGGGTCCCTCGATTGTTTCAAGCACGGGTTGGACAAGTATATGAGTGGGATTGGGTGGTTATAGAATAGGAGCTGCCTCGTATGGGCCAATAAGCCTTCTGCAGTTACCTATGTTCTTATGTTCTTATATCCCCTTTGATATGTCTATTCATCCACTTGTAAACCTCTATCATGTCACCCCTAACTCTTCGCCTTTCCAGTGAATGCAACTTAAGCTTTGTTAATCTTTCTTCATATGAAAGATTTCTAATTTGGGGAATTAACTTAGTCATCCTACATTGGACACGTTCAAGTAAATTTATATCCATTCTATAATACGGCGACCAAAACTGAACTGCATAATCTAAATGGGGCCTAACTAGAGCAAGATATAGCTTGAGAACCACACCGGGTGTCTTGTTACTAACGCTGCGATTAATAAATCCGAGTGTCCGATTTGCCTTATTACGAATATTCATGCAATGATCCTTTTGTTTTAAATTCTTAATAATCATAACTCCCAAATCCCTTTCGCAATCTCAACACCATCTAGCTCGTATCTTGTATCATCATTACCTAGTCTCAGAACTTTACATTTATCAGCATTAAACTGCATTTGCCAATCCTTTGACCATTTCAAAACCCTATCTAGATCAACTTGAAGTGATAGTGAGTCCTCCTCCGAATTAATTTCCCTACCTATTTTCGTATCATCGGCAAATTTGCAAATGTTGCTACTCAAACCTGAATCTAAATCATTTATATATATTATAAACAACAGAGGTCCCAGGACAGAGCCTTGAGGCACTCCACATACAACATTTTCCCACTCTGACTTGACTCCATTTATACTAACTCTGTTTCCTTTGGTATAGCCATGCCCTAATCCAGCTTAATATAGAACCCCCAATACCACGAGCCTCTATCTTTTTAATCAGTCTTTCATGTGGCACTGTATCAAAAGCTTTGCTAAAGTCAAGGTACACAACATCACAATCCTTACCACTATCAACTGCCTCAACTATGCTAGAATAAAAAGATAACAAATTTGTTAAACATGTAAAACCATGTTGCGACTCAATTATTAATGTATGTTTTTCAATATGAAGACGAATTTTATTTGCTATTATAGATTCGAGTAACTGTCCCACAATATACGTTAGGCTAATTGGCCGATAGTAGGACGCAAGTGATCTATGTTATCTTTTTATTCTAGCATTGTTGAGGCAGTTGATAGTGGTAAGGATTGCGATGTTGTATACCTTGACTTTAGCAAAGCTTTTGATACAGTGCCACATGAAAGACTGATTAAAAAGATAGAGTCTCATGGTATTGGGGGTGCTATATTAAGCTGGATTAGGGCATGGCTATACCAAAGGAAACAGAGAGTTAGTATAATGGAATCAAGTCAGAGTGGGAAAATGTTGTAAGTGGAGTGCCTCAAGGCTCTGTCCTGGGACCTCTGTTGTTTATAATATATATAAATGATTTAGATTCAGGTTTGAGTAGCAACATTTGCAAATTTGCCGATGATACGAAAATCGGTAGGGAAATTAATTCGGAGGAGGACTCACTATCACTTCAAGTTGATCTAGATAGGGTTTTGAAATGGTCAAAGGATTGGCAGATGCAGTTTAATGCTGATAAATGTAAAGTTCTGAGGTTAGGTAATGATGATAGAGTTACAAGATACGAGCTAGATGGTGTTGTGATTGCGAAGTCGGATTGCGAAAGGGATCTGGGAGTTATGATTAGTAAGAATTTAAAACAAAAAGATCAATGCATAAATGTTCGTAATAAGGCAAATC